GTTTAGGGTTGAGGGTTTTGGGTTTTGGGTTTTGGGTTTTGGGTTTATACAGCAGTGTGGTCAATCCTTGCGCAGCCACGGAGAAACCCTAAAGCCTAGGGTTCATGTATGATCCATGTACCTATGTAGTGAAGGTGCCAGGCAGGAACCTCGTTAAGGCCCAAGTACAGATTACGAAGGTACATGGGGCCTTGAATCCTAAACCCTAAACCCTAAACCCTAAACCCTGAACCCTCCTCAATGCCTTCGGCCCAGGATGTGGACATTCGGAGCTCCACCGGATTCCATGTTTGCCCAAGCCCTAGCGGCCCCATAGCTGGTCAGCCCTGGGGGGCAAGGAAGTCGCGCGCTGCCTTCCTTAGGCATCCATGAACTCGAAGCCAACCTTGCTACTGAGGTTTAGGGTTTAGGGTTTAGGGTTTAGGATGTAGGGTTTAGGGTTTAGTGTTCCCCAAAACCCCAAACAAAGCCCATCCTCTCCCCAATTTGGCTCGAGGCCAACCTTGCTACGACCTTGGCTACCACAAGCGGGCGCTGGGAGGCCACGAGAGATACCAGGGGTTTAGGGTTTAGGGTTTAGGGTTTAGGGGTTTAGGGTTTAGGGTTTAGGGTTTAGGGTTCCAAGTGCAAGTTTCCGGCGCACGCGTTTCTGTAGCCTCAACTCCGGTCGCTCTTGAAGTCAGGATGGCTTATCAAGGGACCAAAGGAGGGACCCTTATAAGGGTTATTTAGGGGTTATTTAGGCGTTACTTATGTATATAGGGACTCTATATAAGGTATACGAAGGGTTATGTAGGGGAATAAGATTAAGGGTCCCTTCTAGGGGTCCCTCCTTATACCCCTTAAGCTTACCGTTCAGGGTGTGACACTCCGCGCGGCCCCCCGGTTTTCATGTTTAGATGCATACTGTCCAGGTCGCTTCAGTCAAGGACACATGCCGAAGAACAAGATGGGACGTGTGACCGAGGGAATGTTCTGACACTGCATGGCATCGCACTTGTGGCCACAAAGGGCAGTATATAGCAAAAAGATCCCGAACTTGGGGGTACTCATGATGCTTGCAGCAGATCAAAGTGTGGGAAACCCGGTTTGGTTGCAGCCGCCAAGCGAGCTTCTTCCATGATTCAACTGGCACTTAGATTGCGTTCTGCATATAAATGACTGCATGATCCAGAAAAGCAATACCTTGCCATGCCCTAAGCCCCAGCCCTAAACCGTAAGGCCCAAACCCTAAGGCCTAAAACCTTAACCCACAACCCTACACCCTACACCCTACACCCTACACCCTACACCCTACACCCTAAACCCTAAACCCTAAACCCTAAACCCTAAACCCTAAACCCTAAACCCTAAACCCTAAACCCTAAACCCTAACTCTAAACCCTAGGCCTTGGCATGCTCTCTTGCAAGGTGGGGGTGTAAGAATCAAGGGTTTAGCTAAAACAAACCCCGAACCCCAAACCCAAAACCCTCAAGGACCCAGAGTAGGCCCTTATTCCCGTTTTTTGGGGCTTCGGTTCCCTTTTAACCCCCTTTAAACCAAAAAAGGCTTTAAACCAAAAAGGGCACCCTTCTTTTTCCTACATTACTCCTGGGTCTAGCCCAAACCCTCAACAGTGTGTGAGGCATCCACCCTTGAAGTCTGTGCCAGCCTGATCACGCCTTCCTCTGAGGCGGGGCAGCACGTCATGAACAGCAAGTCCACATCGCGGTCGCAGGGGAGCCGCCTGACTGAACGATGCAAGGCGTTGAGGCGAGAAGTGCGCGAGAAGATGGATGACAGCCAAACAAGAGTAACAAAAAAAGATTGAAAACATAGGCAAGAGTCGGCGAACAATGACTAGAGTCTTTGCCTAGAGATCTACTCATTTCAAGAGCCTCTTGAAGCTCCGCCAATCGTTGAACCTCTGCAACTCGGAGGTTTGTGTTGGGGATCCACGTTCCCGCTGACACCCCACACTCCCCCAAAACCCCAGGATAGAAAGGGGTTTAGGGTTGAAATTTAGAGTATAGGGAGTGGAGTTAACCTCCCCAAAACCCAATTTATGCTGATTTTCCGCGGATTTTGGGGTGTTCACTTCGCTTCCTCCGTCACACCTTATTATGTGTAGTAACAGGAGTTAACAGTAGGCAGGGATGTTTCTTGATGAGCAGGAAAAGCAGGAAATCTGCTAGCCCGGTCTCATGGCGCAATAAACCCTATCAGCATAACATGCAATCTACACAGGCCAGAGCGCGATTTTACATTTTTCTTCCTGGCGATTTTTTTTCTGTGTGTGTCTCTCTCTCTCTCTGTCCCTTTCCCTTTCTATTTCCTTCGTTTTCGGACGAACTAATTCACGGGTCACCCACTCACTTCATTCACGAGGAGCTCTTGCGATTGCTGACCGAAGCGAAAGGAGAGAAGCATCAGTTTATTCACATACTTTGAGTAAGAGCTTCATCCCGGCAGCGAGCATGAAACACAGCAGACACCTTAGTTCATGGTCATGTAAGGGAGATTCTTGGTTCGACAAACCCTCGGAAGGGGGAATAAACCCCTAACTAACCCCTAAACCCGAAACCCTAAACCTTAGACTCCTAGACCCGAAACCCTAAGAGCGAAACCCTAAACCCTAAACCCTAAACACTAAACCCTGAACCCTAAACCTTAAACCCCAACCCCCAGAAAAGGGGAGTCGCCCGCGAAGCTTGAACGGCTTCTTGTTGAGCTAAGGCCGCTAGAAGAGGCAGGAGGTGCCTTCCGAAAAGGGGTTTAGGGTTTAGGGTTTCGGGTTTAGGGTTTATGGTTTAAGGTTTAGGGTTTAGGGTTTAAGGTTTAGGGTTTAGGGTTGAGGGTTGAGGCTTGAGGCTTGAGGCTTGAGGGTTTATGGGTTTATGGGTTTATGGATGTATGGATTTATGGATTTATGGATTATTGGTTTATGGGTTTATGGGTTTATGGGTTTAGGGCTTAGGGCTTAGGGTTCAGCATCTCATGTCCAAGCATTCACTAGGCAAGCACTTCATCGAGCGATGGAAAAATACCCACCCGCCCAAAGAATCCCATGGTAACATATTTCGCTTGCATTTGCGACAAGACAACAACTCTAAGGCCAGCCCAGAGGAGTTCCTAAACCCTAAACCCTAAACCCTAAACCCTAAACCCCAAACCCCAAACCCTAAAGCCAGCCCAGAAACCAAGCCCAGAGTAGCCAGCCCAGAGGCCCGAGCCCCTGAAGCCCCCAAAACCAGCCCCGACCAGGCCCAGCCCAGAGTGGGCCCTGAACCCTAAAGCCCGAAAGCCAGCCCAGAGTAGGCCCTGAACCCTAAAGCCAGCCCAGAGTGGGGCCTGAACCCTAAAGCCAGCCCAGGATTGGCCCCGAACCCTGAGCCAGCCCCAACACAGGGTTTATCGGGTTCAAGGTTTAGGGTTCATGGGTTTGGGGTTTAGGGCTAAGGGTTTAGGGTGTATGGGTTTGGGGTGTAGGGGTTTGGGGTTTAGGGTTTCGGGTTGAGGCTTTTGGGGGTTCAGGGTTTGGGGTGTAGGGTTTAGGGTTTAAGGGTTCAGGGTTTGGGGTTCGGTGTTTAGGGTTTAGGGTGTGGGGTTCGGGGTTTAGTGTTTAGCTTACGATTTAGGGTTTAGGGGTTTAGGGTTTAGGGTTTAGTTTTTTTGCGTGGGGGGTGGGGGGGGGGGCAGGGATTGAGCATGTGCTTGCTTGGTGGGCGTGGAGCTTCCTTACTTCTTTTTGGTTCAGTGCTTCGGAGGCTGCAGCCGTGCAGCCGTGCTGATGCGTCCCAAAGTAGGACTCGATAGTGGTGATGTGCCGTGCCAGTTGGGGGTCACCAGTCCCCCCCTAAAGAAACCCCCCAAGCCGGAGTGATGCACAACATGGAAAAGTTAGCACTTTATTGCTGGTAGTCCGGTAGGAATGCGCCCTGCCGGGTACCCAGTTTCACCTGTAGGTGCAAGAGGTCATGCTGTGTCCGAGGTGCACGGAGTGTGTATTGCTGTCATTGGTGAGTGATGTTGAGTGCCAGCTGAACTTCGGGCCAACTCCTTACGTGGAGTCCGTTCTAGGTGCTGACGGGATGCACAGATCTGAATGTCGGACAATGTCGAACTACTCAGGCACCTGCCATCTACGAACCCTAAACCCTAACCCCTAAACCCTAAACCCTAAACCTATATGCTGCTCCATCGAGGCCGTCAGCACCTTACCAGCGCGCAGCGCAATCCGTTGACACCCGCATGCTAAACGCCAAGGGCTGCCTTGGATGGGTTGGTTTAGGGTTTAGTGTTTAGGGTGTAGGGTTTGTTTCGGGCTGAATTAGGGTTTAGGGTTTAGGGGGGAGTCACGGAAGCTGAGGGGCAGCAGGTCAAGTCTGTCAAGCATGTCTTGACTTCTGCGCTGCGGTTATCTCTTGTGATGTGCTGCCCTGCTTAGAAGTAGGTTTAGGGTATGCGGTTTAGAGTTTAGGGTCGACTTCGCCCTACAATGTGGCAACTTGCGTCTGGCTCTACATCTGGGGGGTGTCCGAGAATAGCGGCACCTCGGGGGGAGGGTGCCCTACAATGGGGTTTCGACCCAAAGCCTTACAGGAGTACCCTTATTTCGCGAGAGTCCCAATTAGTTCGACTAGAGGCCCACAGGGACCCTTACTTCTTGCCGTCCCGAGCCGTTTTAGGGCGTATAATATGGTAGAAACCGTAAAGTAAATTTCCGGGCAGGGTGTTGTACCAGCCTGCAATCGCTGGCTCAAGAGGCACAAGCAGACACACTGCCCGCCCTCTGCAACAAACAACTCAGCCTGACTTCCCCTCTTCATCCAGCTATCAACCCTAAACCCTAAGCCCTAAACCCCAAGCCCTAAACCTTGAATAGTACCACCGTCCACGCCCTGAGCCCTCAGCCCTAAGCCCCACGCACTGCACCCGTAGAACTCCTTGACGAGGTGATGATCCCTTTAAGGTTGAGGATTTAGGGTTTAGGGTTTAGGGCAATTCGAACTTCGGAGACATGGCAGCTCCGGCGCTGTCATCGCGGCTTCGCCATGACTTGGTCATCCCAAACCCCTGAATCTCAGACCCTCAGCCTTAACATCGTTTCAAAGAAGAGTCCTTTTAGACATGTTCCCAATCCGAATCCGAATCAAGAGCAGCTTGTTCTTGAAACTTGTTGACGAAATCTCGCTGGTCATGCTTATTCTGTCTAACGTGTCAGAAAAGGACAACTATCAAAGGGGTTCCGCAGAATCCCACGCCCCATGCCCCGATGCCCTCACCATACGACCTTCGCCTCCAAGCCTAAATGCAAACCCTACACCCCGAAAGCCTTGAACCCTCGGAGCCCTGAACCCTTAAAAACCTTCAGCCCCTTTAAATAACCTATAGCCGCCCTTAAACACTCTAGAAGCCCTTCTTCGAACCCTCGCAACACCTTTTGAAACACCCGGAAGAACCCCCCGGCAGAGCGCCCAAGCGGAGTCACCCCAGGTTCAAGAAGGCGACCGCGGCACCTGATCTCCTGGTGGCCGCCTCAGCTCTTTGAGGGTGGTAGGGGGGTTTGTAGGGGGGTTGTAGGGGGGTTGTGCAGGGGTTGTTGGGGGTTGCGGGGGGGGGGGGAGCGCGGGTTGCAGAGCTTAGGGTTTAGGGGTGTGGAGGTTTCGGGTTTCAAGTGTTGTGGAGGTTTAGGGTTGAGGGATGAGGGTGTGGAGGATCCGGGGTCATTTGTTGGTAAGATGTCTCACGGCTTTGTTTTTTTTTTTAAAGCCCTCGCGTAGCGAGCCATGAAGCGGCGCAGCCTACTGGTTCTTAGTGGAGAGTGAGGGCATTAGGCACCTTGTATCCCCACTATATCTACCCTAAGGGATTCTACAGGGTACCCCATATATCCCCCTGTATCTACCCTTAAGGGATTATATAGCGTACCCCATGCGCTCGAACCAATCATCCAAAAGGCGGGCGAGCCTCAGAAAGTGAAGAGCTTCGCGAGCACAGTGCAACCTGGTCCGGGCCTATCGCTTCTGTGGTTTCTAGGCCCCTGAGCCCTAAACCCTAAACCCTAAACCCTAAACCCCAAACGGCTTCTGGCATTTTGGGGGCTTAACTTTGGGGGTTCATGGGTTTAGCATTTTACAGCGGGCACTAGGGCATCAGGAATGTGGGTTTTCCGGGGGGGGGGGGGGGGGGGGTTCGGGCTTTCAGGTCTCAGGGTTTGGGGTTTAGGGTTTAGGGTGTTCAGCTGCCGGTGCCGGGGTGTATTGTTGCTCTCAAGTGTCCACCAGGTGCTCATAGCCTGGCGTGCTTTCCACGCAGAGAACTTTGCCAAAACAAGTGCTACAGCCTAGCGTCTCAAACCATACCTTCGGCCCCACCTGAAGCAAAGGTTCATGATTTAGGGTTGCGGCCTTACGGTTCAGGCATGTATGTAGTTTTTAGTTTCAAATAGTCTATACTTATGTGTGTGGTCACCTTACTTGCAACCCCTGTTCTAACTTCTCATCCCCAAAACACAAACCCCTAAACCCTAAGCCCCCAAACCCCTAAACCCTAAAACCCTAAACCCCTAAAGCCCCCACCGTCCAAGAGCCGCAGGTCTGGAGCATCGTCCCTTCTCAGATGAAGAGATCAAAGAGGACCCAGATGTTGCTAAAGGATGTATGGAATCAGGTTTGGGGTCTTGGGTATGAGCTTGTTTCAGGGGTTAGTGTTTTGTTTTCATTTCCTTTTGGCGCGGGGATGAAGGTTCTCTAGATTCCGCCCACTGGAAGTTTGGTGGTCGTTACATCCTGGCTTCCGATGCCTTCCTTGGAGACAGCTTTTTTGCGTTGGGCCGCGTGGCATGTGGGGTTTCGTCTCTTGGCATTCAGAAAGTTCCTCCACTTGAACCCTCCATGGAGTTGCTGCAGTGACGTTTTCGGAGCACACCTGAGGGGGGGACGTGGTTGTATGGCAGCGGGTACTCTTGCATGCCACTCTTCCTTCCTTCCCCTTCCTTCCCTACGCCATAGAGCCCTAAACTGTAGAACCCTAAAAAGTCTTAAGCCCGAAGCCCTAGAACCCTTTAGCCCTCAACCCTCATCTGCCCTTGCCCCTTGCGAGTCCGCAATCCTTGAGACCCTAAACCCTAAACCCTAAACCCTCAACCCTCAACCCTAAACCCTAAACCCTAAACCCTAAACCCTTCTAGGCCTTTGCGACCTTTGACCTCGACAACAATCGGTTTGTGGGCGCGGCAGAGCCCGGGCTCCCAGTTGTTGCGTGGACGGCAGGTTGGGGTCTTGGGGGGTTTAGGGTTCGGGGTTTAGGGTTTAGGGTTTAGGGTTTAGGGTTCAGGGTTTAGGGTTTGGGGTGTTAGGGTGTTCGGGTGTTAGGGTGTTAGGGGCTTAGGGGCATAGGGTGTTAGGGTTTTAGGGTCTTAGGGGCATAGGGTTGAGGGTTTTTCGGGTTTAAGGGGCTTCGGGCGCGCCAGAGCCAAAGATGAGCTTCATGAGTCATGAGTTTGATAGGTCGCTAGACACGTTAATTACACAAAATGGCCGGGCCCCAGAAATGGCCAGAAGGGAGCCCCAAAATAGGCCGCCTGGAAACTGTCCACATAGTCTTTCAGCATTCAGACTCCAAAAGGCTAGGGTCTAAGGTTTAGGTTGGGGTGTAGAGGGTTTCAAGGTTCGGGATTTGGATGAAGGTGCTTCTGAAAGAGTACACAGCATGATGAGCTCCCAGAATGCAGCACGGTGGATCTTTTGTGGCCCTAAGCTGCGCAAGTTCGCGCACAGAACTGCCCGCCAGCCCTGCCCCTATGGGTTTAGGGTTTAGGGTTTGGGGTTTAGGGTTTAGGGTTTGGGGTTTAGGGTTTAGGGTTTAGGAAGTTCAGAACAGGATCTCGCACATCCTGAAGCTGATTGGGGAGGAGGTGTCTCATCAGGACCTGCCAGTTCTGCAGGCTCATGGCTCCTCTGGCCACTTTAGGGTTTAGGGTTTTAGGGTTTAGGATTTAGGGTTTAGGGTTTAGGGTTTAGGGTGGTTAGGGTTTAGGGTTTAGGCCTTTAACTTAAAACTGTAAGCTTACAAGAGGGGCCTTAATGGTTTTCATCTGGGTTTTGGGGGATACTATAGTATAATTATGAAGGGACCATAAGGGAATGCCATTAGTAACTATTCCGACCCTACATTACCCTGAATCCTCAGCCCTGAACCTCCCACTCCAGGAGATCGATGAGATGATTCGCATGTGCGACACCGATGGAGATGGGCAGGCAGAGATCTCAACCGAGGGCCCTTCTTCCTTTTTGTAGGGGCTAATCCCTTCCCCCTAATATTACACGCCCCCCCCCCCCCCCCCCCCCCCCCAAAAAAAAAAAAAAAAAACATTAAAACTCGAAATGTGTGTTTATTACTGGGGCGAGGTTTTAATCGGCATGTTTTAAATAGATTTTGTGGATTTGGGGGAAAAACGGCAAAGTGCTTTTATTTTTAGGGTGCTCTTTAGAAAAAGGTGGAAAGCGATTAGGTTCCCTTATAAACCCTATTAAAGCCAGAAAAGGGGGCACCCTCTGTATTCCCAGGTTAGTCTTAGGCCCTGTCAGGCACCCAAGCACAACTCTTCGAGCCTCCACCAGACCTAGCCCAGGTCACCTTCGATGAGTTCTACAAAATGATGACAACGCCAGCGCCGCCCCTGTACCATCCTCAGGAAGCTTTGGGTTTAGGGTTTAGGGTTTAGGGTTTAGGGCTTAGGGTTTAGGGTTTAGGGTTTAGGGTTTAGGGTTTAGGGTTTAGGGTTTAGGGCTGGCTTGGGGTTCAAGATTAGGGTTTGGGGTTCAAGTTCTAGGGCCCGCGTCAGGGATTCCATGAAACATCATAGGGATCCAGGGTGGTGTGTTGGGAGGGCAACTTATTTGGGGGCTGAGTTGGGCACATGAATTCAGGCGCTTTTCATGCACGCTACTTGCATTTCTCCTTCCACAACTCTTTCTTGATCTCTGAACCCCCTCATGCACCCTAGAGCCTAAACCCTTCAACTGTTTCCCTAAGCCTCAACCCCCCTCACCTGATTCTGGTGTCTAAACCCTCAACCCTCAACCCTAACCCCTAAACCCTAAACCCTAAACCCTAAACCCCCTTTTCGCGCGATTCCGAGGCCTCCGGAGGTGAGATCCACGAAGAAGAAGCCCTACTCCACCAAGCTCGGGGGGGCCAAGAGGCATCCAGTTGGGTTTAGGGTTTAGGGTTTAGGGTTTGGGGTTTGGGGTTTAGGGTTTAGGGTTAAGAAGTCAGGTTTTAGGGTTTAGGGTGTAGCTGTGACTGTGCGCTGTGGTGCAGGGCTCTGCTAGGGGGCTGGGGTTCACATAGGATCTTAGTGGCAGGGCTTGGCGGGGCCTTGTTGGAGCTAAATGCTCTTTTATTGGAAGGGCCTTTTGGGTCCGCTGGTTTTTGTGTGTATTGAAGGGGTTCTGAGGGGAGAATGTGGGTGATTTCGCAGTTTGGGGGGTTTCAGCGCATAGGAGTTGCGACCGCATGGTACAACAGTCGTGCAGCTGCTCTTTCAGCGTCTCCCTTGTGTCTGGTGCCGGGAGTGCTCGCAAAGTGCTTCTGCCCCGAGGGTTTAGGGTTTAGGGTTTAGGGTTTAGGGTTTAGGGTTTAGGGTTTAGGGCAGTTGTGCTTTGCCCCAGTTGTGCTGGCAGGTATGCGAAGCAGCTTACAGAAGCAGGCATGGTGCTTAGCCTATTCGTCTCAAGAAGCTTATGCAGGCTTGTGCGAGTCCGAGCATGGCATGCACACTCGGTGGCAGATTCTAGATGCTCCCCTAAACCCTGAACCCTGAACCCTAAACCCTAAACCCTAAACCCGAAACCCTAAACCCTAAACCCCTTTCCATGCTGGTTTACCACAAACAAGCACCACTGAGGCCCGACCTCTTTGGAGAAGCTCTGGCCCCAGGGAGACATAGTTACCTCTAGGCACAGCTCTAATCGTTCCCAGACCTTAGAGCTGTTCACTGGGTATTATAACCCCTTACCTACAACCCCAAACCCTAAACCCTAAACCCTAAAGCCTAAACCCTAAACCCTAAATCACTTCCCAGGGACCTTTCTGGAAGGCTTGAGTCGTAGCCAGCAGGGTTGTAATAGGGCCTCGGACAAGCCGAATCCGGAAGCCCTGATCTGAGGGCTACGGCCGAACTTTCAAAGAACAAGGGCGACTGGCGCGCGCAGCAGAGTGCAGCGGCAGGGGGCCTCAGGAAATGCTGATTCAGGGCCGCACCCCCAAAGTGGCCTTCAAAGTGTACTTTCTAAGTAGCCTAGTAAGGAGCCTGGTGATCCTTGGGTACTTGGGAGGCTGGGATAGGTGCAATTTTGAGGGCTTCTGGGTTTTGGGGCTCAGGTTTCAGCGTGTCGGTTTCGGGATCCAGTTTGCTGTGTTGCGCTTCAATGTGCATGCCGGTCCGAAATTTGAAGTAATCGAAAATGCTGTAAGTTCTAGAAACCCCACTGACGCCCTAAACTAGTCCCTATCCGTGACCCTAACGAGACCCCTAAACCTGTTGACGCCGTAAAGCCAGAATCAGCTCAATATCCTAAAGCCCCAACACCCTAAACCCTAAACCCTTAACCCCAAACCCCAAACCCTAAACCCCAAACCCTAAACCCTAAACCCTTGCACGTGCATCTGAGGCCGAAATCAAGCAGCAGCGGGCCACGAGCGCTTTGCCCTTGGTACTGCCTGGGTGTTTCTGGGGTCGGGCTCCAGGGTTTGGTGAGGTGGGCGGCCTCCACCCTCAACCCTACTTGGAGGTTCATGGGTAGTTATAAGTAAGGTTATAAGCCATAGCTATCACCCTAATTACAATTACCCATGAACCTCCATGTACATCACGTCAGGGTTTCCAGTTTAGGGTCGGGTTCAAGGGGAGCAAATCTAGGCTTCAGGGTCTAAGTTTGAGGGTTAAGGGAGCTGCGAGCACCTATCCCTAAACCCTAAACCCTAAACCCTAAACCCTAAACCCTAAACCCTAGACCCTAGACCCTAGACCCTAGACCCTAGACCCTAAACCCTCTTGGGAAGTGCCCATAGGAAGCCTCCCTCCATGAGGTTCTAAGGGTCCTTACATGGCCCCCTTGGCATGGGCCCTTAAAATGGTACCCATACACATGAAGGGCCCATACATCAGAACCCTTTAAAGGAGGTTTGGGAGCATATTACTACCAACTGCTGAAGAGGCCCCCAAAGTTGAAAAGCAACAATCCCTATATTATGAGGAAGAAGTTTTATTTTTATGTATTTTTTGGCAGGTTATGAAGCAAATAGTAGATGAAGGGCCCAGAAGAAGCTCACCCCCCCCTCCCCACGAGGACTTATAAGCCCTTTAAGCGCCCTAATCTGGTTATAATTGGGTTATACGTACAGATATAGTAGGTTAATAAGTACCCTGAACCTTCAAGTACGAGGTGGAGCAGCTGATCCACAAGCTCTCTGGTGGCATGGGGAAGATCAAGCCCTCGCAGACGCCAAGCAGCAAAGCTTCATGCTCTGGCTGTGCAGGATTAGGGTTTAGGGTTTAGGGTTCAGGGTTTCGGGCTTCGGGTTTCGGGTCCATCCTGCCTCCAAGCTCAGGATCAAAAAGATCTACAAGCGCTTCGGGGACGGGCGCGATGCGTTGGCAGATGGGTAGTTCTCGAGATTCGGGGTTCTTTTTGAGGTCCTTGTATGGGTGTTGCTTGTAGAGGGGGGCCCCCCCCCACCCTCCTGTATTACTTTCTCCTGTCTTTCTTTCCGGAGGGCGAAGCATGCGTTCGAGGCTTCTGGGATACCGATGTAGCCTTGCGAGGATATCGATGTCGACAAGAGTGGAGCCATCGATTACGAGGAGTTCATCCAGGTTCGCTGTTCGCTTTAAGCTTGCGTGGATCAGGAAGCGACTGTTCGGCCACCTCGGGATGGGAAGCTTAGCCGCTTCTTTTGCGAAAGACCAGAAGGCTTTTACACAAAAAGCTCCGCGCGCACCGGCCTCCATAATCCTTCCACCCCAATTTTACCACAAAGCAATGAGAGTTGCCTCGGTGTCCTAGATCCGAAGCTCTAAACCCAGTTCTTCCCGAGGGAAAGTTCTTCAGTTGGCCCACGCTTCCACAGTTCTAAGGGTAGTAACATGGTCCCTTCGGGTTCTGATGTCGGGCCCTTGGGTTGTATAAGGTACATAAGGGGTCTTCAAGGAGTCTCTTTGTAAGGGCCCATAGAAAGGGACCTTGTAGCCACCCTGAGAACAGTTTTGCGCAGGCCATGGACATGGAAGACACGAACATTGCGAGGCCAGGTCCATGACAGAAGGTCGGTTCTCGAATTCAGGATGTTGGGCACAGGGTTGTTTTGCGTTTCCGACCAAAAATGGGCTCCGTTTTCTGCTCGGGGAACCCCAAAAAGGTTGGAGCACAATTGGCCGGATGCACTGTAGCTGTAGCCCAAGGTAGATAGCCCTAAACCCTCCACCAACCCGAAACCCTGAACCCCAAACCCTAAACCCTAAACCCTAAACCCCAAACCCCAAACCCTAAATCCTAAACCCTAAACCATAAACCCCAAACCCCAAACCCTAAACCCTAAACCCTAATACTTCCCCAAAGACTGGTCGACTCTAGGGTTTAGGAGACCACACTACAACTACCTCATAGACCTACACTGTCTTGAACACTCCTGACCCTCTTCCTGCGGAATTCCCTCCAATATGTTTAGGGTTTAGGGTTTGGGGTTTAGGTTTAGGGTTTAGGGAGAGCTGTCAGCACACAGTGCGCGGGGCACACCTGGTCACCCAGAGTCATGAACCAATCGAGCACCTCTTCCTTCAGTCGGCTCGGCTCCCTTATATCCCTCGCTGACGGAAAAAAAGGCGCTTCCTTTGTTTCTTTAGGCTGGTTCGGGTATTTCCTCAAATAGGGGACTCACGGCGTGCCTCGAAGCACGACATTCCTTAGTAGTGGAAAGACAGGTCCCAACCAGTTGGATCTCGTTCTCCGGTAAACCCTAAAACTCAAGCTCTCTTGGAATCCGCGGAGTGTAAAAGACACTCTCGGGCTACAGGGTTTTGGCCCTAAAACCGTCCACCGGAATGTTTTAAGAGGGACAAGCAGTGCTCCAGGCAGATGTTCAGAGTCTTCGATATGGTCGCTCGCATGCAATCAGGTTTAGGGTCCCCAAGCTCAAGGCCATGAAAGCCCAACACTCCTGAATTCAGTAAGTTCCTTTTGCCATCATGAACCAAGGTAACTTCCCGAATTGAGGGCTTTTGGGCTCTCCGAGCCTAAGCCCTTGGTCCTCGACGGCTTGCGAGAACAGCAAACCATTGGGGGGCTTCCCCAAAGTTAGGGTAGTGCCTATGTTGGTGTCCCTGTATTTTGGGGTATACAGTCCAGGCTTGCCCCTATATTGGCGAGAAATACTCAATTCTCTCCAGGGGGCTGTCATGATCTCCGTCCTAAACCCTAACCCTAAAACCCTAAACCCTAAACCCTAAACCCTAAACCCTAAACCCTAAACCCTAAACCCTAAACCCTAAACCCTAAACCCAAAACCTGACCAATGCGTGCCCTTGACCGAGCGACAGACCGAAGCTTGTTCTGAGGCGTTAGACTCTTTGGGCTTGTTCCCAACTCCGGGCTTCCCCCCTCCCTCCGGCCCTCCCTCCCCTTAGGGTTGTAGGGCTTTAGGGTTTAGGGTTTAGGGGTTTTTGGAGTGCGAGGGTTTTACGGTTTTGGGTTTTTTTTGGTTTTAAGGCTTCAGGGTTTTAGGGCTTTGGGGCTTAGGGCCTTTTTGTTCCGAGGATGGCAGTGGCATGATCGAGTTGAAGGAGTTCATTGTCGTCCTCTCTCGGTACACTGCAGCCGGGAACCCATCATGACGACTTACCCTGTGGGGCGGGGGGATGATTCGGGGTAGACTCTGTAGTCCCTTCGGGTTTTTTTTGGTTTCGAATACTATGGCCTTGTGTCTCAACCGGGTGTGAAAACGATGAGGCCCAGGGGTCAAAGGAGCTTGCAGGCCACACTGGAAAGGTCTTGTCCACGTTGCCGGGTTGAGGAGTCATGCAGGAGAGGGCTACGCCAACCCGCTCTGAAAAACACTGAGCCTTGCAGGAGGAGGCGTAAATGACCCTGTAAAGCCTGTAGAGAACTGGCTCTTTGGGGGATTTACCGTATTAGTATTTGGGTTCGCTCGAACCTCGCATTCCTTCCATGGTTGTTCTAGTGTGCCCTGATTTCATGGCACTCATTCTTCCAAAGCATAGCAGTGCCAAGTATCGGCTGCGGAGATGCCGCGCGGTATCTGCCGGGCCCCTAAACCCTAAACGGTAAGCTCCACACCACTGAACCCACAAACCTATACAAGCCTTAGACCCGGAACCCCCTAATAAATCCTTGAGCCCTAAACCCTAAACCCTAAACCCTAAACCCTAAACCCTAAACCCTAAACCCTAAACCCTAAACCCTAAACCCTAAACCCTAAACCCTAAACCCTAAACTCCAGGCTGCGAAGACCGAGAAGCTTAAGTTTGCCTTCATGATGTTTGACCAGGTGCCCAGTTTAGGGTTTCAGGGTTGATTGAGGTTTTAGGGTTTCTTAGGGTTTTGCCCCTTTAGGGGTTTCTTAGGGTTCTGAGGGTTGGCTACGGTTTTTGTAAGGGGTTTGCTTTTGGCTTTTCGGGTTTGCTGGGGTTTAGGACTCCGCGCTGAGGGCGAGGAGACTTAATGCGGGGTTTTCGGGTTGAGGGTTGAGGGTTGAAGGTTTCAGGTTTAGATTCAGGGTTTAAGATTTAGGGGCCTGGCCTGGCCGTGTACGTGGTCAGTTGTTCGGTTACCCCCCCCCCTGGTAAAGACCCTAAACCCTAAACCCCAAACCCCACAAACCCTAAATTTAAGAGCCTCCTGCTCAAGCCGCCCACCCCGCTGGAGCATAGTTGAAAGGTTTAAACGCGCTCGTCAGCTCAAAGGATGCCAAAAGTTGATTTGCTTGAGCCTCTGTGAAACGTTGGGGGGGGGGGTAGGGGGTAGCACCAGGACCCAAACAGGAGCTGAAGCCAGCTTGAAGGAGGGCAGCCTAGGGGGGGTAGGGGGGGGGGGGGGGGGGGGGGGGGGGGGGGGGGGGGGGGGGGGGGGGCGCGGGTAAAGGGCCCCTATGTCCTGTGCGAAACCACCTATGGTCCGTGAGTTTATGCGGTGTGGGTGGCCTGGCCCTCCATGGAAAAGCTGCCCCCCCCTACCCCCCCCTACCCCCCCCGCCAGGGTCGGCGGACCCTAAACCCTAAACCCTAAACCCCTAAACCCCCAAACCCTAAACCCCAAACCCCCAAACCCTAAACCCTGAACCCCTAAACCCCAAAACCCCCAAGCCCCAAACCCTAAACCCTGAACCCTAAACCCTAAACCCTAAACCCCAAACCCCTAAACCGAGCCAAGCCGCAAGCTTCCCAACAGGATGGCAGCGGTCTCATCGATCGCCAGGAGCTGGTGGAAATGTTGCGGGCGCCCTCTCCTGACAGGGTTTAGGGTTTAGGGTTTAGGGTTAGGGTTTAGGGTTTAGGGTTTAGGGTTTAGGGTTTAGGGTTTAGGGTTTAGGGTTTAGGGTTTAGGGTTTAGGGGTTTAGGGGTTTAGGGGTTTAGGGGTTTAGGGGTTTAGGGTTTAGGGTTTTGGGTTTTGGGTTTTGGGTTTAGGCCGGGGTTCTACTTGCAGTTTGTTCTCATGAAGCTCTAGCTGTGCCTAGATTAAGGGATGTGCCCTTCACACATGTGTGTGCCCTGTGTGCCCTGATCATTGGCATGCTTCGGCTTTCCCCCCCCTCCCCCCGCTCCCCCACCTCCCTCCAACTGCAAATCCCGAAAACTTTTAGAGTCCTCAACCCGCATGCCAAAGCCCCACGCCCTGAGCCTGAAACCCAACGGCAAGTAGCGGTAGGCAGAAGCAAGAAATCTTGGGTTATACAGGGGCTATTTCAAGGCTACTTTGGTATGCAGGGGCTTAAGTCCTCTATGTGTATCGATATATGCAGATGCAGGTAAGCAGTCGTACTGTAATTATACATATAAACATGTACACCTAAACCCTGACCACGATGCTCGGCCACGGCAGGCGAGCTTTGTCGTGGAGGGCTACAGTCCAGAAGAGCTCGAAGAGCGTGCTGATAAGGTGCACGTTTGCGGTTTAGAATTAAGGGGGTGGGACTTGACAGACAGGACCCGAAGCCCTTAACGCCTGAAGCCAAGCCTTAAGACCCCTGCAAGCCTAATTCATTCCCAACCTTCAACCCTAAGTCTCAAATCCCTACACCCTAAACCCTAAACCCCTAACCCTACACAAGATTCCTGAAGGCAGGGTCGGGTTTGCCGTGTTCGAAAGGCCGAGCTGTCTTTTGGCTCCGAGCACACCAGGTCAGTTAGGAAGTGGCACATGCCGTGGATCACATGTCATGCAGCAGACATACCCTGCACGAGCAGGTCGCTTAAGCGCAGCCTACACCGGTAAGTACCACCACGTTACTTCAGCTGAGCTGACCTTGTTCACGCTGTGGAAGCGCGTGTCCGCGTGAGCATTCTAAGACCGCGCCTGTCATAGGTGCTAAGCAGCTGCGGGCCACCATGTAAGTTGTAGAAGCACTGGCACCAGAAGGGCCGGTTTGTGGCCATTTTGTGGTATCCAAGCCCGCTTCAAGCTCCATAGTAGGATTCCGAAGATCCCGGGAGCATGGAAGCTGGCCAGGCTCATTGAGGGCTTAGGGCCCCCTAAGCATCAACCCCGACACTAAAACCAGGACCCAGAGTATGACCCAGAGTAGGCCCTTGCTCCCTTTTTTCAGGGTGCAGGTTCCCTTATCAACACCTTTAAACCACAAAGGCCACCTTGTTTGTTCCTGGGTTTCTCTTGGGTCTAGTAAGCCCATCCCAGAGCTTTTTCAGACAAAGTGAGGGTTTAGGGGTTGAGGGCATAGGGTTTGGGCTTAGGGTTGGGGGTTTGGGGGTTTAGGATTGAGGGTTGGGGAGGTCGTTCTCAAAGCCATAGCCATCATAATCATAGTTCGTATTCATGGCCATACTCATGACAGGGACGATGGTTACCCCACACCCACCATGTTGGCCGCATGACTGTCATAATCGCCTACGAAGGGCCATCGCAGCGTTTCGAAGGAGAAGCCAAATCATCCGTGCGACGATAGCCATCGTCAAGAAGATAGACTCCCTGACTTGCACATTCTATGGCAACCCAGAAGCCCCAAACCCTACTTGTAGAATCATGGGCCTATACTTGGAGTAATATATAAGTAATTGTAACGATAGTTGCCCCAAGTCTAACCCTACTTACTAAGTCCCTTGATCCTTTAAGCAAGCCCTATAGAACTGACATTCTATTCACTTTAGGGCCCCTATAGTTACAATAGGTTGAGTTCTCAGGGTGTTGCCTTCGCAAGTGAACAGTTGGACCCAGTTTCGACTTACAGTCGCGAAATCAATAGCCTTCTGAGGTTCAGTCGGTTTAGGGTTTAGGGTTTAGGGTTTAGGGTTTAGTGTTATGAAGGTTCATGGGTAGTTATAAGCAGGTTTCCTAGAAAGCGTCATGCCGGGGAAGCTCCTGAATTGGAGGCCGGCCATCAACAATGGCTACAACAGGAGCTGCGAAAGCTGTCCCTTCTCTGCAAAAGTGGAAGAGCGCTGGGCAGGGCTTGAATGGATACTGATTCTAGGGTCTTGGCCTTGTTGAAGTGTCGCTTGGATCAGCAGCGAAGTCTCTTTGGCCTTTAGCGCAAGGCCGACCTCGGAAATGCAGACCATCAGCGTTTGGCTACAACAGGCAAGGTGGGACATGTCCTAGCGGGCTGCATGTGGAGTCGACAGCTTGTAATGCGCCCGTTTTCCACAGACGTAGGTGCAGAAGGGCTCAGCTCGCCAGGTCTGAAGCCCTGACACCCCCCCCTCCCTCCCCAAACCCCCTACAGCCCCTGAAGCCAGCGTAAAGCCGAAAGTCCCTAAACCCCAGACCCTAAACCCTACACCCTAAACCCTAAACCCTAAACCCTCCTACCTGTCAAAAGCATCGGCGCATCGGCAGGTGCTGCAGGAGCGTGTTCGGCTCGAGGCCGAGCAGTCGCTGAAAGCCGAGGCTGCCAAGGCCGCTGACTCGAACTGGCGGAGTGGGGGAGGGTTTAGGGTTTGGGGTTTAGGGCTGGGAGGGTTTATTTAGGGTTTAGGGTTCAGGGTTCAGGATTTAGGTACTTTTTCGGCTTTGTGGCAGGGTTTAGGAAGTTTAGGTTTTAGGAGGCTCGGGGGGCCTTCGAGTCGAGGATGGGCGCAGAGTGGGTTTCCCTTCTTCTTGGTTTAGGGTTTTGGGGTTTGGGGTTTAGGGTTTAGGGTTGGGGTGGGTTTAGGGTTTAGGGTTTAGGGTTTCGGGTTTAGGGTTTAGGGTTGAGGCAGAAAGGCTACCCGACTACCCTGTCAATCCTAGGTGCTGGGACTTAGTTTAGGATGTGGGGCTCGGGCGTATGCCTCCACAACCCAAGAATTGGATGGTGTTCCAAGCCCCCCCAAACCCAAACTTTTGTGAGTTCAGGCTTCCCCCGAACCCCAAACACTGAACCGCCAAACCCTAAACCTCAAACCCTAAACCCGAACCCTAAACCTTAAACTCTCCAAACCCTATGAACCCCCAAACCCTAGACCCCAAACCCCATGCCCTCAACCCCCTAAACCCTAAACCCTAAACCCCAAACCCCAAACCCTAAACCTTATAAACCCTAAATCCTTCAGGCCGCTCTTGCTCAGTTCTTAGATACGGGACCTTCCAAGGAGGCCTTTCCAAAAGTCCAAGGCCAACAGCGGTAAGGAATCCTAGTGTTTAGGGTTTAGGATGTAGGGCTTGGGGTTTAAGTTTAGGGTTGAGGAGTCAGGGCTTAAGGTTAGGGTTTTGGGCTTTCGGGTTTGTTTCTCTGTGCTTGAAAGCAACCGCTGAAGCCTTCTCGACGCAGGCAGCGGCTGCTGCTACCCCCGCAGGGCCCAGCGCATCTTTGCCGCACGAGCTTTGTGAGCGAGGCGTGTGGGTAGTTTTCTAAATTAGGGTCCCTTTTTGAGATCGGCGCCTCCTTGTAATGGGTACCCAAAAAGGGACCCTAATTTAGCAAACTACCCAATGTAGCTACCCTAAACTGTTTCAGCTTCCCATTTTGCCTCGAAGTCTATACCCAAAAGTCTGGCTTCTCGAAGCCTGAAGCTCTTTCTGCAACCCCCAAAGCCCCGAAAACTAAAAACGCCCAAAGCCCCAAAGAAAATAAACCCTAAACACCTCCCCCACCCCCCCTAAGTCCTGATAACCCACAAGCCACCCCCGCCCCTCTGCTCCCATAAGCTATTATAAACCCTAAACCCTAAACCCTAAACCCTTAACCCTTAACCCTTAACCCTTGAACCCTAAACCCTTGAACCCTAAACTAGTGTACTTAAAACCCAAAAACGCCTCAAAGCCCTCTGGGGCGGAGCTGCCGCATTCTCAGGCCGAGCCCCGTGAAAAGGCTCCGGCTGGGCTCACGCTCCTCAGTGACAACGGAAAGTTGCTCAACGAAGTGGGTTCTAGGAGCTTACTTAGGAGGTTCATGGGTAGTTCTAAGTAGGGTCTTAAGTGCCCGAAATAAGGCTGCAGTTTTTTAGATGCCATACTTCTACCCCGACTTGCAACTACCTGCATAGGGCTTAGAACTCAGAAGGCTGAGAGACTTTGGTATGAGAGCTGCTTTGAAGTGTTGGCTTCCGGACAACTTCAAGGGCACCTGCTTGTTCATGCGCATGGGGCGAGGGTTTAGGGTTTTAGGGCTTAGGGCTAATGGTTTGGTGTTACGGGATGTTTAGGGTATGTTAGGACCTTTCATGACCGAGGGCTTTAGGGTTTAGGGCTTAGAGAACGCGTACGGGCTCACTGACATTTGCCCTGTCTGCGAGGAAGGTTAAACCCTATAAACCCTAGTCCACGACTTTGCTCGGCGAGGAGTTGGGTGACGTTGAACCTGCTCAACTCCACTATGCTCGTCTGTCGGTTCTACTGTTCTAGCCTTCAACCTTTACAACTATGCAATGGGGCCAATGATTCCCCACATCCTTTAGGGAACCAGTGCAACGCAGACCTTCAACGTCAGGAATGGCGCCGGCGGAGATAGCAGCAACGCCGAGGCCGCCAAAAACACACCGAAGAGCGAGCCTCCTGGCAGCCTAGTGGTACCCTTTTCCCGCTCTTTTTTGGCTTCAAGGTACCCTAAACCCTAAACCCTAAACACCTCCGCAACCCTAGACACCTGCGCCGTCCCCTTATATGAAGTAGCCAACCCCCCAAAAAGGGGTGCCCTTATCATCATACACCGGAGGAGGGGGGTGATCATATATTTACTGGGCGACTAAGGCCTCAAGAGGCCAAGACGGAGCCCATGCAGGTGGACCCCAGCAGGCGCCCTGAGGCCCAAGCACCGCAGGGCTCCTTGTAGGGTTTAGGGAAGTTTAGGGTTTAGGGTTTTCGGGTTTAGGGTCTAGGGTTTAGGGTTAGGGTTTTAGGGTTTAGGGTTTAGGGTTTAGGGTTTGGGGTTTAGGGCTCCGCACAGGCCAAGGCAGAGAGCGGAAAGGAGCCGGAGGCCAGGAGCGTGGTGCCTGATGCCAAGAAGGCTCGTGGGAGTTCAGGGCTGAGGGTTTAAGGGGTGGGGGGGGGGGGTGCTGTGCGGGTTTAGGGTTTAGGCCTTAAACCCTACACCCTAGCCCTAAACCCTAAACCCGAATTAAACCCTAAACCCTAAACCCAACGGGGGAGGAGTTGGGGTGGGGGCGGGATTGGCTTTTCCAGCTCAGCGAAGTGGCTGCCGCGACTGTCGCGCACATGCGCAGCTCGAGTGTGAGCAGAGAGCAGCTCGCTCGATGCATCTCAAGATGTTAAACCATATATATATATATATATACACATATATGTATATACATATATTTATATACATATGTGTGTGTGTCGTATACTATAATGTATGAGACTATGTTGAAGCCTGTTGGAAATCACTTTGTCAGAGGAGTTGCCAGCTTCAACGTCCACGCCCGTGGTCAACGGTACCTCGCGGCTGGCTCGCAGCAAGAAGACAGAACCGAGCTTCGAGACCCCTGCGAAACGAGCTGTGCAGG